CTGCTAAGTAATATGAGTAATGTGCGTAAAGGTCTTCGTGGCCTTCTTAGGAATAGTGCGACCTCGTCTCGATGAGCGCTGAGTGACTGATGATATCGTTGAACATAACGTTCGACAATTTGTGACCACTCTGACAGTGATGGCATCTGAATAGCAACGAAGCTTGAAACACTTAATTTGATGGGACATGGCGCTAATAACCTTGGGGGGGGTGTCACCTGTGAAAAGGTTATCAGTGTACTAAATCCTGCAAACTGTGTAAAGTGAAAACAACAGTGTCAGCCCCCTGTAGGCTTTGTTATCACCTGTCAAGCACCCTGTGGACTGTTGTCAATTTTGTGAAAATGACTGGCCGATTATGGAAAAAATGGAGAGACGGCTCTCCAATGACGCTATATCATTTCACCAAGCTTGACAGGAGTTTACTGTGTACTTCACAGGAATTTACAGGACCTGCAGGGTGAAGCACGAGTCACAGGCGCTGCTCTTGGGAACACAGCCTCCGTGTGTTGGAAGGCGAACGAGACTTTCGACTTACATTTTTATTAGTTTTCGCTTTTTTCGTTTTATTTCGTCCAGGACACTACTCGCTAGATGGCACTGGATCAGACTGAACATTGCTAGCCGGAACCGGAAACGGCGCTGACCATGGGTCCATTCAAAGTGATGAGCATTGTCGCAAAGCTAGTTCGACCGCTAAACTCTCAGTACTTGCGATAAAAGGCAAATGTTCTGTGGTAGTTGCTGACGATTCTGAGAACACTAACAACATGACTGTGAAAAGCTACATGCCGAACCAATAAAGGCTAATTAACCAATCGCAAACGCGTTAAATTTCCATTTGGATGTTGCTAACATCAAAACTTACTCGACCGCCAAACTATCCGTGTATCCAACAAAGGGTTGATATTTATGGAATTATAATGAGTAGTGAGGAACAAAGGTAAATGTTAGATTAAAGTGAGCATGGATATAATAATGTGTGTACGCACAGTCGTTAATTAACGGTGATGTGACCGTCCTGATACACGGTCAAGTCACCGTGCGCTAGACTCACCCTAAATCTGAGTAACTAATTAAACGTGCAGGGATATTGTGTGACTTTGTCTTCCCCAATTTCTGTACAACATGCTCTATGCTTGACCAGGATTACGAAACGTGCGACAAGTTGCATTTGAAATAGAACTCATGCAACAAATACAAAACACAAATACAATACAATACAAATAGAACTCCTGGTAAAATGAATCGAGCAATCGGAAACGTTCCCAAAGGTTTACAACACTATTACAGAAATGTGAAAATGCTAGTGCGCGAGCCTGTGTCATCACCTTGGAATTTCTTGCGCGTCGTTTCTGCGGAAACAACAGCAGGCGTTTGTATGCAAATAATCCGTTTAACTTGAGTTTACACGTTATAGCTTGGTCGTTTTTGTCACGTGTCACTTTATCCGCTACACTTGTCACGCGCTTCATTCCAACAGTTCCTTTGAAAAAGCCTGGGTCTGCAAGAACGGTGAAGAAAGGGGTTGGAACCAGAAATAATTTATTCTCCAGCTACTTCACTGTTTTAATTCAGATGAGCTCCCTGTCATCGAATATCCTCTTCAGCAGCATCGCCTATTTCCCTACTTGGCTGGTCATTACACGATACGGCTGTTTCATAGGAAGTAAGTGATCGCTGTTGTGTTTGTCAATCGTTATCTTTAAATTCTATTGCCTTGCTTATTAAGAACATAAATCGTTACTCTTCAGACTCATGGAGCATTTCACGAACTACATTATGCGTGTGATGCAAAACGAGAAGTCGGATGAACTGGTCAGTGAGTTTACAAATGAACCCACTCTCTGCAGTTCGAAAATTGCAATAAAAACAGAAACATTCGATGTCAACCCTACCTGGGCTACGACCGGATGCTGTGTTTAGAGTTTCAAAAATAAATTTTTCTAATCTTCATTGGCGAAGACCCGCTGGAAAGGGAATAAATCATTCCTCAGAGCTCTTCCCACCCGGATCTCCGGTTAAGTCCTATTTTCCCTTTCGGGCCCGAAAAATGGTAAATATGATATTAAATCAAAGGAAGTGAACACGATAACTGGGGCACCGCAATAACCGAAGATCCGCCAAAGAAGGTGGGTAGAGATAACGTTGTCAATCAGGAGTCACCTGAGATGGACTGCAGCGGCTATGTCGACCACAGCGCCATTGTACAATGATCTCGTCCGATGTGCAAGCTTGCTCAGAAGGGCGACAACGACTATTTCTTTTCTGCTGCTTCTCTTTATTACTGAGTACATTTGCACCTCGGCATCCCTGTTC